CGCCCCCTGCCGGCCCGGCCGCGCCCCGGGCGGGAGGCGCCGCCGGGAGCCGCGCGAGGGCCGGGGGGAAGGGAGCGGGAGATGACACCCCGAAGGAAGAATAATAATAATAATAACAACAACAACAACAAAGAATAACAACAAAAAAACCGCCGGCGAACAGGGACGCATCTCCTTTTTTTTTTCTTTTTTTTTTTTTTTAAATGTGCGGAGATTATGCAAATAAATCCTAACGGGTCCAATGCGTTTAATTCGAAAATGTATGTATAACCCCCAGATAAGTGATAGGTTAAATCGTCGAAAAATAGGTGCAAATTATGAAATGTGGGGTATAACCGGATTCGGATTGTCCAGACGCTCCAGACTGCGCGGCGGCTTTTAACTGTCTTATTGTTCTCCCTTTGGTCTCCAGTTGATAAAGTTATTAAAAAATAATTTTAGGGATAATTATTTTGAAATTTTTTTTTAAAAGGGGTGGGTGGGCGGTGTAGGTGCTTGCTCATTGTGCTAAACCGATAAGCGAGGGCTGGCGGTGCGCAGGCAAGGGGTTATTTTTGCTCTGGCTGTAGCTGCGGGAGGTGCGTGGGGTGCACGGCCCGGAGCTGCACGCAGGACCAGGCATCGTGGGCTCCCTGTGCTCACTGAGAGCCTTTCGGGGCCTGGGCCTTTCCTAATTGCATTTATCATACGAATAAAGGATGGGAAATGCCTAACAATTGTGCTATCGGGAGTATTTATGGGTCTATTTTAATTAACACTTTTAATTATCGACGCAATAAACTGGCATATATGCATAATAGTGCAATATAGGAAATAAGGTGAGGGCGATGGCTCTTTTGGGGCATTTTGTGCCTTTCCTCTGGGTATGGAGGTTTGCTTGGTTGGGAATACACACACGGGTGGGCGGAAGCAGAGGCAGACCGGGAAGCTGGCTTCAAAAAAAAAAAAAAAAAAAAAAGAAAAAAGATGAAATGGTCCCTGATTTTCTATATTAATGACAATAACACCACTGCTCTCTAAGAATACAGCCAGGGAAGGGAGGCCTGCAGAGGGACGGTTTAATCTGAGTGGATTTAAAAAATCGTTGCCTTTGGTATAATTTATGGAAATGAAAAGTGCTTACATTAAACAAATAGTCTGCAAATGTTCTCAGTGATGGGCTCTGCGGCACACGCACTCTTATTTTCAGGTTATGAGTGTCTTAAAAAGAAAATGAATGTTAACTGCTTGGATTTTGTGTATTTATTGTTCTAATGCTCGCCGATTTTTCTAAAAGCCCCACGGATACAACCTATCGTGTTAACTGTATCGGAAAGAATATACACATTTTCATATTATTTTTTTCCCCTGAACCTACTAGTAACCAATCTAAAGCAAACTATTAAGCAGACTTGTGGAGATGGGAGATTGCAGCTCCATTTTTTGTCCTTAGCTGCAAATAGAGGTTTAACTTGCAGTAATTAGGTGAGAACTAGCCAAGCATCTTACTATTATGATGCTTGTTAAAAACGCTTCTTTTCTGCATCTGCATTTGAGTGTGTTCCCCTCCACTCTTAATCTTCTTATGGAAATGAAGGCGAACGGCAGGGAACCTGCAGAGACTTAGAGAATGTCCTTGTTAACTGGAATTTCTCAGCATTGCTAATTAGCAGAGTTTGACGACCACCAGTATTGGGGAAAGCTCTGTTTAGCCACTCACAAACCCTTCCGAGGAAGAGCAGACTAATTTTATTTTGTAATTAAAATCTGAAAAGGCCCCTATTTGACAGTTAGGGCTATGAGAGTTTTATCTCCCCGTGAAATAATTACTGCCTTGATAACTCAATTTTCTGCAAAATGTCAACTGTGAGCTCCAAAAGTTTTAATTTTATTACGTTTAAAAAAAATAGGCAAAGACGAAAATGTACAGATAAATTTCCTCTTGCCCCTCTTATGCTGTAGCAGCCCAGCGCTCAAGTTAGTCCGGGAAGTTTTAATGAACCAACTGTATACTCCATTCTCTGGGGGATTTCAGTCATCACATGGTGGGTTTGCAGTGGTGTCCCGAGGAAAACTTGGGGAGATACAGTCTGAAATGCCTGGAATAAGGGCCACATTCGGAGCGGGTACGGGCCCAGGACAGGGGCAGAGCCTTGCCCAGCCCCGGCAGGGTCCCGAGCTGGTGCAGGATGTCCTCAGCCAGAGCAGGATCTCACACGGAGAGCCGGGGAGCCCCTCCGGGCGCTCGGAGCGCTCCCGGGAGCTCGGGCAGTTCGGCGGGGCCGGGCTGGGCTGGGCCCGGGGCCGCTCCGCCTGCGGGGCCCGAGGGCTGTTCGGGGAACCGGGGGGGAGCCGGGGCGCCGCGGCAAGTGTAATCCACTCTGCTTGCGTTTGGGATGTTTTTTATTATTATTTAAAACGGTTTAATCTCCTTTTTGTCCCTCCCTGTCCAGCAAGTAGCCCGATTGTCGCTCTCAGAAGTGGCATTACACGTACAAACCAAGGAGGGGGCGAGCCGCGGCCGGTCCCGCCAGACCCCATTTCGCCCAATAATTTCATTCAAGGGCTCTAAGGACCCTTGAAAGCCGGGGAATACCGAGGGAGCCCCGCGCTGCTCCCGGCCTCTCCTTTCATCCCTGTTCTCCCGATTGGAAGCGGGGGGCGAGCACACGTGCGGCCGGGCGGGCAGCGCACGGCCCGGGCCCGAGCGGAGCCTGGGGGCTGCGGGGACAGCGGGGACAGCGGGGACAGCGGGGCCCGGGGGCTGCGGGGACGGCGGGGACAGCGGGGACAGCGGGGCCCGGGGGCTGCGGGGCTCCCCCCGGGCCGCCCGCCCAGGGGGTCCCGCTGTGCCCCCGGAGCGGCCCCACCGCCACCTCCCCTCCCGGCGACCCGGTGAGCCGGTGCTGCGGGGATGGGGCGGCAAAAATAAATAGCCGAGAGGTTAAAAAAAAAAAAGAAAGAAAAAAAGAAAAGAAGAAAGGTGGGGAGAAACAACAACAACAAAAATAAAAAGGTGCTCCGGTTTTTTTTGTTTGTTTGTTTTTTTTTTTTTTTTTTTTTTTTTTTTTTTTTTTTTTCCCGGCGTCT